CTCTCTCTCTCTCTCTCTCTCTCTCTCTCTCTCTCTCTCTCTCTCTCTCTCTCTCTCTCTCTCTCTCTCTCTGTGTCTCTCTCTCTCTCTCCACGCCTCCCTGTGTGGGTCTCTGTGCGACCGCACGCGCTCGCCCTTATCGCAAATTGAGATTGTTAAGAAAAACGGAATGCACTCTCTATATCGTCCCCAGATAAGGGAGCTCGAAGCGAGGGAGGATGGAGGGCCGAGGAAGGTAACGCCACCGGAGGAAGGACGGAGAAAGCGAGTGAGGGAAAAAGGAAGGAGAAAGGGAGGAACGAGGGAGGGCCGATGGAGCAAGAGTGAGGGAGGGAGGAGAGAGGGTCGAGGCAAGAATGGAGGATGAGCCGAGGGAGGAGGGATGGTGATGATGCCTCTGCTGCCTCTCTCTCTCTCTCTCTCTCTCTCTCTCTCTCTCTCTCTCTCTAGAATGGAGGACGGGCCGAGGGAGGAGGGAGGCGGGAATGGAGGACGGGCCGAGTGAGCGAGGCAAGAATGGAGGACGGGCCGAGTGAGCGAGGCAGGAATGGAGGATGGGCCGAGTGAGCGAGGCAGGAATGGAGGACGGGCCGAGGGAGGAGGTATGGTGGTGGTGATGGGCCGAGTGAGAAAGGGAGGAAGAGGAAGGGCCGATGGGCCAGTTTTTATAGTATTGTAGATGAGCACAAAAAGCACGTATCAACGATGAGCACGAAAAGCACGCATCAATGATGAGCATGAAAAGCACGGATCGACGATGAGCATGAAAAGCAGGTATCCACGATGAGCACGAAAAGCATGGATCGACGATGAGCATGAAAAGCATGTATCCACGATGAGCACCGAGCACCAAAAGCATGGATCGAAGATGAGCACGTTATCATGCACCAAAGCTCCCGCACGGATCCACGATGAGCAGGTGACCAAAAGCATGGATCCACGATCAGCACGTGACCAAAAGCACGGATCCACGATGAGCAGCTGACCAAAAGCACGATCCACGATGAGCACCAAGTTCCCGTCAAGCACGAAAAGTCCGAGCACCAAAGGAGAGAACACGATGAGCACCAATGGAGAGAAGACCATGAGCACAAATGGAGAGAAGGCCATGAGCACCAATGGAGAGAAGACGATGAGCAGGAAAAGCATGAATCCAAGCTCAGATCCACGATGAGCACCGACCACCAAAGATGAGCACCAAGTCCTCGTCGAGCAGCAAAGGAGAGCACAATAAGAGAGAGAGAGAGAGAGAGAGAGAGAGAGAGAGAGAGAGAGAGAGA